TCAAAAAAAAAAAAAAAAAGAAAAAAAAGAAAAAATCCCTGTCAACCCAGGCAGTTCAGCTCATTTCCATCCCCCTGGCCTCATGATCAGTTCAGGGATGGACCATCTCCTTGGACAGCATCCAAAGAGAGACAGCCTTTAGACTTTAGCCCAAGAATCTCTCTGGCTGAGCTGGAAGGATGTCAGCTATAGCTGCCCTGGGCATCTTAGTCCAACACAGAGATGGAGCAAGAGAAACTATGTTCTGCTGTGTGACTTGATCCACAGCCTTGATCTAGCCCTGCCTGATGTCAGCATGCTCTGAGTCGTCCCAGTTTAATGAGCCCTCAAATATCCCTTCCCTTAGCAAAGTATCTCAAGAATGGAAGAAAAAGTATTCAATGTACTCAGCCCTACCGTGAAACAAATTTATACCTTTCATAGGAAAACTGTAACCCAATTTTAGCCCAGGAATATGGGGAAAGGAGAAAGGGAGGGGGGAGGATGGATGGAGGGAGAGTGATTGGGGGAATTACGCCTATAGTTTATCCTATAAGGGTAAAGGTACATGTGAATCTCTCTAAATGTAGAATGTAGGTGTCTTAACACAAAAACCAAGAAAATGACATAAGGCTATGTTGGCCAGTTGGGTGAAAGTATTTCAAATTGTATACAGCAATGACACTCTGTATCTCATGATAGCATTAATGTACACAGACATGATTTAATTAAAAAAAAAAAAAAGGAAAAAAAAATTCCTTTCCTTGACTCAAGCTGGTTTGGTTGGGTCTCTTCTCTGGCAACCAAATTGTCCTGACACACTGGATCAGAATGTGAGATGTGCCTGTGAAAGGCACATGCCCAGATCTGTGTGATCTCCATCCATCAGTACACTGCCCTCTGAGACAGGTGCAGAGGGAGCCACAGAGGCTCTGTGAGCAGCAGGGATGGGACAGGGTGGGCCAGAGCCACAGAGTACAAGGGATCAGGGGAAGGGAAAGTTTGCCTGAGCCCAGCCCTCCCCCCAGAGGGAGGGGGTCCCCAGTCTGGCGGCGTTGATCCAGCAGAAGCCCTGAGCCTTGGTTTCCCTGTCCATAGAATGGGCCCTCGGTCCTGACTGCACCAGCTGTGACTTGGTGGGGTGGGGAAGCAGAGCAGCCCACAGGAGTCTGCCCTCCAGCCTCAGTGGGGCTCACAGATGTCCATCCACTCTGTTACCTACCAGGGCTCGGGACCTGCAGGCTCAGAATCCACCAACCTCCTTCCTTTCTCTGGGCCTTAGTTTCTTTGCCTGCAAGTGGAAATGATGGTTTCCCTCTCAGCAGGAGCGGTGGGTATGTCTCCCGAGCATGCCTCTGGCACGTGCGACACCCCCAACGAATCCAAGATGTTAACATCTCCTCTTCCCAAATTTGTGGTGACCGCAGACTCTTGGGCCTTGCAAACGGCCGCCCAGTGGCTTCCAAGACCCAAGACCCTGCTTCCGATGGAACCCCGCCCTTTCCTCGCCCCCTTCGCTCCTCTCCCGCCCCCCCTCCCGTGGGCTCAGAACCCTGCCCCTCCTTCCTCCGCCCCGTCATCCCTCTTGCGCCCTGGGACCCCCCTCTCTCCCGCGCTCTCACATTGCTCCTGCCTCCGCACTCCTCCGCACACTACCACGCTCCCCTCCCCCTTCTCCACGGTGCGCGAGCTCCCCCAAGCGCCCGCGAAGTGTGCTGCGACGGCAGCCCCGGGACCACAAGCGACCGCAAGTACCAGCTTGGTGGCGAGGTGGGAGCAGGCGCAGAGGGAGAGTCGGGGGTCCGCTAACTGCAAGGAGCCAGAACCCCCGGACTCCGTGCCCTCTGGCGCGCCCCGCCGCTCCAGGGCTGTCCAGGGACACTCCAGGAGTGCCTTCCTCCGGAGGCCGCAGGCGCGGTCCCCGGGGACACCGCGGGGTGGATGGAGGTCCCAGCACTCCAGCGGCGGCGCGGACGGGTCGGGCGCGGGCCCTTTAAGGCAGCGGACGGGGCGCGCGCCTCATTAGCATTCATTAGCATGGTCCCGCCCCGCCCGGAGGCGGGAGCGCGGGGCTCAGTCCGAGCGGCGGCGAGCGGAGCTGGCGTCGGGCTGCGCTGGGACTGACGCTGAGACCAATCTGCACCGGCCGGGCCGACCGGCCTTGAGCGAGATGGGGCGCCGCGCCGCCCGAGGCCCCGGCCCCCCGCCCCGACCGGCCCCCGGGCCCGGGCTCCCATCGCTGCCTCTGCTGCTGCCGCTGCTGCTGACGCTAGCCGCCCGTGGGGGCTGCGCCGCGCCCGCGCCCCGCGCGGAGGACCTCAGCCTGGGGGCGGTGAGTGCGCGGCCAGGACGCGGGGGCACGGGCCCAGCCCCAGCCCCGCGGCGCTTACGGGGAGCCCAGTCTATGAGTCTTGAGTTGCGCAGGAGTCGGTGCTCCCTGGACCCATTTTCCTGGCGGGAACACTGAGACCGAGGCGAGCGCCCCGGGCCTTTGGATACGCTGGTCCCTGCCCGTACCTTCGGGGCTTGCCGCAGTCGCAAGAGCCCGTGGGGGTCGCCCAGGACCCCGACTCGGAATAGCCCCGAGCAGCACCGGTGGGTGAGGACGGCCGCCCTAGCCGAGCGGCGGTCGGGTGGGAGCTGGGGGGACAGGGGCGCGCGTCCCCAAGCCGAAGAGGGGCCCGGGCTGCGTAGTGTGGGCGCCTGGGAAAGCCGATCCCTCAGATCTCTGAGTTTGCTTCTCTGCGGTGGTGAAGGGTGAGGAGGCTGAACGGCTCCGCTCTGGCATGGATCTCAGCCGCGTTGTCCCCTTCCCGCCCCAGGCCACCCTGCCCTGCCTCTCCCGTGCAGGCAGCCCTGAGCTGGGTGCAGTGTACCCCTATTCCCGGCACCACGCGCCTTCAGCTACCACCCCTCCCCCGCTCCCAACCCTTTATCTCTACGCACTCTCTGTCCCAAGCTTAGCTGGGGAGCTCTGTAGGGGGGCAATGACCTCTTCCTACAAACCTCTCTCCTTCTCAGC